CCCAAGATCTTGAAATTTCTTAACCCAAGATCTTGGCCAAGATCTTGAGTGAAAAATTCAAGAATCCAAGATCTTGACTTCTTGGTGTTTTTTCCAAGATCTTGGGCAAGATCTTGGGTACAAGAAGTTCCACTAGGGATTCCATCATATTGGTGTTCTCAAAAGATAAACTTTCACAGAAGTTATTCTGTAAGCTTATGGAAAATTTTTTTCGCGTGAATTTAATATAAAATGAATCCAAGTTGACACTTATTCAAAATTTGCACTATACCTGAAACACCAACGTTAGTTCTCTGTAATTTTTTCTGCGTTTTGTAATTTAGGCCTAATATGACTCAGAGACGCGAAAGTTATATTGAATATATGAAATTACGTGACGAATCTCACAATTTCAATACGAATGATATTGAAACACATATTGAAACATTAATAACATACATAAACAAATATTCATTTGATAATTATTGTTATTCATTGATTCAACGTTTTCTTATTGATCTACGATATCAGATTGTGAAGCTTGGCTATATTCTTCCATATGATACTAGTGTAAAAAGAAATATTTATACATTGTTCACCCAGTTATTAGAATACCAATATCTTCCTGATAGTTTTAACCAACAATGTTTAATACACGCATATAAAGTTATAGCTAAAACTTTAACTAACGAAGAAGAAATCATTCAATTAATCGATAGTGAAGAATCAACAATGGAAATATTCAATAAAGAATATATTTCTGATTTATTTCTTAAGTAAAAGTAGTTTTTAACTCTGTCTGGTTTTTGTTTATGATAATTCGGATGGATTTTAATCTGTTTTCATTCAGTCAGGTTCAAAAGACAAGCTCTGTAGAAGTTGGGGTTTTTTGATGTGGAATACAGTGAAAACTTAACATTTTACATTACAGGCTGTTTGATTAGATCAGATTAGAAGAGATGGGTAATCTCACCCGTCGCTAGAAATCCACCAAACTCAGAGCGACACCGAAAAGCTGAACTTCGCTTTCAACCAGAAAATCTATGTTTGATTTGGAATTGAAGGCGTAAAGACATGAAAATTTTTTTGATCTAGTTGTCTTTAAAAATATTCTGGTGTTACAATATACACACTGAAAAAATAGTCAAATATGCTCGTTTCTCTTTCGTACCTTGTTTTATTCTTTTTCTTGAAACATGTTGAAGAGCTGGAAATAATTTTCTTTTGTCCTCAGGAACACTAAAGACCCACAAGGAATGTTTCTGAAGAATTCTATATCAATTTTGAGCAAAATAAAATTCTATTTTTTGTTTCAGCGCAAAACTACAAGAATTGTTTTGGTTTTCAGTTAGCTATGTCTCGTTTAGTCCATGCTAGCTGTAAGTTAAAGAGCAAGAAAATAATCTAATGAGACAATATCGAGTACAGTGCTTACGGTGACATTGACCTGTTCTAAAATTAGACTTTTTACTAAGCATTTACACTAACTGATCGTAGTAGCTCTTTCCAGCTTTTGTTTTAGATTTTACTAAAAGAAACCAAATGTCAACGGTATTTACTGCGCTGCCAAATGACTTGATCATTGAAATTTTTGATTATTTAAAGCAAAGTGATATTCTATTTTCTTTTTTCGATATAAATCAACGTTTTAATAAATTGCTACAATGTTACTTTTCATCAATTAACTTATCGTCTTTAACAATGAAGTGCTTTAATTACTTTTTAACAAAAATTTTACCATCTATTTCACCAAACATCGTTGCAATCTCAATTGGTCATAGCTACTGTTTTAATCAAGTGGTCCTGTTAGCTGATCAACATCCAACATTCTTTTCATCATCATTCCTCGTGAATTTGAAATATTTGCATTTAATTGATATAAGTAATAATGAAATATTGTTATGTTCTAATGTATTTAGAAGTTTAAAACATTTAACAATTAAGTTAAAAGAGAAAAGAACAATGGATACAATGGTGAATCAACATCTGTTTCATAATGAATCATTATTAGAAGAATTGTGTATTCAAGAGGTAGGTTGGTAAATGTAAATTAGTGGATAATGTATCTGCATTAATATTTTCTTGCAGTTAATTGCAAGAGATTTGCAAGTTACAGTCACCATTCGGATCTTTTTCCTTTGAATCAACTTGTGAGACAACCTTTGTTACGTGTTTTACTGATGACTGGAAAGGAACGAAAATGCCTTCCTGATGGGACTGAAGTATAAAAAAGTACTTTTGAGAATAATATTGTCTCTTACGAAACGAACCATACATCGCTTGATCGAAAACTCGTAGAAATTTCACGGACACCTTATTTTGAAGAAAATACTTGCGTTTACATCACTAAGTATTTGAAAAAATTTTGGTTGTCCAAACGAGTGGACAAGTTCAAAAACTCATAACTCTAGGAGAAGACGCAATAGAGAGCTGATTGACATGTTGTTCTATAGAGGACACTTAACTGTATAGTGTACCATATCTCACTCAAATATCAAAAATCTTAATAAAAAAAAAGAGGACGAGGAGTATTCACAAACAAATTGAGTTTTCCATTTTGATTCCAGATAAGGAACGGTAAAGGAAATATTGTGTTATGGGTGTATTAACTTCAATCAATGAGTTTCTTAGTCACTGTCACTTTGCTATCAGATGGTGGATCGGTTAAATTTTGAAGTCTGGAACTGTGGATGATGTAATAATTAAGTCAGATTACCAAATTTGAAATGTCCTTTTCGATGAATCTGAAATACAACGCTGTAAAACTACAAACAGAGTCTTTTATTATATAACTTGAACGGTCTTCTGTATTAACTATTTTGATATCTAGCAATGTTGAAAAATATCTGCTCGAATGGCATATGAATTGACTCTCTAGCATCGGTAGTAAAGGAGAAACAAAACTTATGATTTACTTTTCCCAAATGGATATACAGGAAAATGATGGCATATTTTAGAGCTTTTCGTCTAAGTCAGACAATAGAATGTGACAGATACCGTAAGTAGTTTCAGCTGACATCGTTCTACTCTTCTGCTTAAAATAAAGTTGATCTCAATTTTTCGATTTTTTTTCAGGGTTTATTAGAACCATTAAATATTCAATTATCGTATCATCTGTGTAATATTACAATTGAACTTGACTTTTATGATCATTTATTAATTTTGTTTGATTATATTCCACGTGTTCAAGTATTAGATGTAAAATGCAGGTCGTTCATTTACAATAGTGCGAACAAATTCATTGATTATAATTATGAAAATTTATCCAGTAAAATAATTCCACGTTTACTTAATTTCAAACTTTTTGTTGCTAAACTAAGAACAGAAAATGATTATTTAATAATAGAACGGTTGATTCAAAATCTTAAAACACTAAAATATCTATCATTTTTTATTGGTCATATACCTGTATTAATTAAAGATATTGGTAATCGTTTTCAACAATGTTTAATACCAGAAAATGTAATTGAATTTAGTTTTTATCTAAAATGTTCACACAATCGAAGTAAACAACAAACACCAACAATGATTATGTCGTCTAATTTTATTAATAACAATGAATTCTGGTTAAACAAATTGAATTGTCATATTTTATGCTATACCGATTATAATAATCGATATTGTTATTTATATACATGGCCGTTTGATTTAAACTCAAAATATGTTGATTGTGTTTCACATGGTATTGATGATCTACAAACAAACTGTGATCAATTAAAACTGGAGCAAGTAAGTTTTATAAATTCTAGTGCACATGTATGACATATCTGATTAACCATAGTTTCCTTTGTGGTTTATGTCGAGATACGGATCATGGATGATCAGGCATCCATTCTAATTACTGATGCGATAGAATTCGATATTCTTTCGAGAAATGACTGTTACCGAACACCTAAATGTTCATTCATTTTCTTCTATTCTTTTTGGATATTCATTTTCTTTTTCTAAATTTGAAAACTAAAATATATTCAGTCCATTCTAGTCATTCTTTTATTCTCCATATTTTTCATTTCGTTTTGACAGACTAAAAGACGTAGAGCTTCGATTGTTCGTGTATACATTTCGAAATATTTTGGAGACCTTCTTTGCTGCTTTTAGTCATTATCGTTAAGTATACACAAATATATAACCGCAGTCCGGAAAAAGGCCGATAGGAACAATAATAATAAGTAAACATTTATCGGTCTGTTAAACTTTCTACAACTGAAAACGTCATGTACGAATATCGAAACACGAAAGCGATCAAAAATTTTGGACTTGCGTTTGGAGTTTTACGTTTCGGGTCTGGCTTGGGATGTAGGAGGGATTTTTGAGAGTACTTTTCTTATACCCAGGGAGTGTCTAAAGGTTGCTTCGATAGCACTTAGGACAGGTTTTGTTTTATGATACGTTATCAAAGGACAAAGAATGATCATCTCTACATTTTCAACTAGGACAGTGGACTAGCAGCCAAAAAGAGTTGACCTCTCATGCGAACTAGAGTATTGAAAGTCCTCTCCCTCAGTTAACTCAGAATTCATGAAGAGAAGGCTGTTTCTTCGTGGTGAGAACACGTACGCAACATTAATCGTCAGCGTTCACGATTTGTAACTAACTTTTAAAGTTAGGTAACAACAGAGAGAATGAGACGCATTTTTGAGAAATATTCTCGATATCTTAAATCTTATTTTAAGTGTATTCGTAGTAGTGTAGCGTTTGCCAAAATTATGAAAATTTTGTATAACTGTGTTTTTTCAGAAGCTTCATTCATATATATGTGTTTACATCTACATGTTGTATTATGTTGACTTTT